GGTTGCTATCCCCCTCAATGCCTTTACTGTTGTGTTTTTATACTCGACTGTAAGCTCATTTGAGCAGGGTCCTCATCAATTTATTGTTCCTGTAACATTTTTGAAATTGTCTCACTGATTGTTAAATGTCCGCTTTTATAATATTGTAAAGTGCTGTGTAATAAGTTGGCGTAATATAAATGCTAAAAAGTTAAAAATCATTAAGCCAGGCATTTGGAGTATAGACAAAGATAACTGAAAGTTGTGGGCCAAAATACCCCAGCTGGAAATGTAGCTGAGTTGGAGAACTAATTCAAATCAGGTACTTTGCATTCCCATTGACAGATGATGGAGATATGCTAGCTGGTCCATCTTGTAAGCTCAAGCTTTATTCAAGATTTCGTTTTCTGTGCAGTACAGGATTTTTCCGTATCAAACTTTCTTGGATTCTTTATTTTGCATCTTTGCTGTGAATCTATTTTAAGTACCTATACGTTTTTATTTAAAAAGTTGATTACTAATATAGACAGTCGTTTTCATTCATTCCATCATCAGGTTCATGTCCTCTTTGTTCTAGCTATACTCGTCTTAAAAAAAAGTTTTTTTTCTCTTTTTCTTTTAAGACTTAATATCAATTACTCTTACCAAACACGTGTTTATGATGGCTTATTTGTCATGTTTGTGTATGACTGAAAAAACTATTTTAATATCATAATAGATTCATGAGAAATACAGTTCTGAATAGTTTCCCCATGAATTCTTGATGGCTCTATAATCTGCAATATTATAGAATTGTTGTAAAATGCTTCTGTCATTGAAATCAAACTGTGCTCCTGCTGCTTCTACAATCAAAATATATCGCAGCATTATAATTTAAACTGAAAGAACATTTGGGTGTATAAGGACATTCTTTGCACAGGAATACCTTGCTGAGAATTCACTATTATATTTTATTAAGCCTCATTTTTAATCTGAGAATAATTAAAGAAGGAATTTGTTTCATATAGAACATTGTCAAAGGAGGCTAATTTCTTTAAACACAAACGGTTACCTTTGGGTTTATGACTCTTTCTCTCACCCCATTAAACACTATTAATGCATTTACTGGGGTGAAGGCTGCAGTGGAGACTTGTATGAAAGGTATGCATTTAAAATGTCACAGTTGAAATAGTTAACTCTTTACTGATTATCACTTGAGTGACATTGGAAAAGTGCTGCATTAAAAAAAGCTCCACATAGTTTTGGTTATATAGCTGAAAAGAGACCTGCATTCAGATCAGATCAGATCAGATCAGATCATATTCAGCCTTTTCCACATTTAATTTTGCTGTTGATCCAAAAGAAGGCACAAACCCCAGTCTGAAGTGCATCCAATTTTCCAACAAACTAGGAAGAAAAATACTTATTGACCCCAAAATGGCAATAAGATATCTCCTTGGGCCAAGAAGCTATTAAAGGACCACTATAGTGCCAGGAAAACATAGCCGCCGGGCTCTGGGGAGAGGAAGGGGTTAAACACTTCCCTTTCTCCAGCGCCGGGCGGGGAGCTTTCCTCCTCCTCTCCTTCTTCCTAGCGATGTCATCGGCTCAATGCGCATGCGCGGCAGGAGCCGCACGCGCATTCAGCCAGTCTCATAGGAAAGCATTCATAATGCTTTCCTATGGACGCTGGCTTCTTCTCACTGTGATTTTCACAGTGAGAAGCAAGCAAGCGCCTCTAGCGGCTGTCAATGAGAGAGCCACTAGAGGCTTTAGAGGCTGGATTAACCCTCAGTGTAAACATAGCAGTTTCTGTTTATAAAAAAAAAGGGTTAATCCTATCTGGACCTGGCACCCAGACCACTTCATTAAGCTAAAGTGGTCTGGGTGCCTATAGTGATCCTTTAACCAACTAATTAAACATTATATCCCTGTATATTATGTTTTTGCATGTATTTATCCAATTGCTGTTAAAACATCTGTATGGACTCTGATAAAACCACCTCTTTAGGCAGAGAATTCCACATCCCTATTGTTTTTACTGTAAAAAAAAAACCCTTTCCTTTGCTTTAGATTAAATCTCCTTTCTTTCAGTCTAAATGCGTGACCTTGTGTCCTATGTATAGTCTTGTTTATGAGCAGATTTCCAGACAATGGTTTGTATTGTCCCCGAATATAATATAATATCATAATAATAATATAAAGGTATAATGCTATCATATCCCCTCTGAAGAGCCATTTTTTCCAAACTAAAGAGATTTAAATGTATTAATCTTTCTTCATAACTAAATGCTCCAATCCATTTATCAATTTTGTAGCCCACTTCTGCCCTTTTTCTACTGCCTTAAGATCCTTCTTTAGAACAGGTGCCCAAAATTGAACAGCATATTCAAGGTCATTTCAACACCATGAATAACAGTACTGTCTAAAATGACACTGCTTGGACTAATGTCAAGGTGGAGTTTGTTTGATAGGAGATGTTTAGAGTTATGGAATAATTAGTGTGGTCACTTCCTCCTCTGAGAATTATGGGAGTTACAGTGCAAAGGATTTTGAAGGAAGCTAGATATTAAACTCCGTTAGATCTAACTCTAAGTCTCTCTTCTGAGCTTCCTTATCATGTTGTAATGCTCTACGATTAATGCATGCCACACATCGCTGTACCCCACAGTTTTAAGTTTCTGGTGTAACCCTATGCTGTAATGATGTTCAATAAATATATTATCTATAATGGAGATGCGATCTTTCAATGTTGTGTCATTGCAATTATTTAGGTCACTATTTAAAATTCAACATTTATATGCTAACGATTCTAAAGTGAGTAGGTATAAAGCACATTCACTGTAAAAACACTACTAGGGCCAAGATCTCATGATATGCCATTTAGGTACCTATTTCCCACATCACTGTGCATGCAATGGTGGCATTCTCTCACTGTTCTCGTCTGACTATTTTTTTTTTTTTTTTTTTAAACCTTCTTGTAACAAATGACAGATCTGTGCATCATTCTTACTAAACTATGAATTATGGGAATTCTGAAAATACCTGAGCTCAAAACAGCTTGCTTGACGAAAGTTCCCTACTTGGCTATTTTGGGCCTTCAATTTGCAAATCACTGGCAAATTCCAGATAGTTTACAGTTTAGTGAAAATCCCTTATGGTTTGGCTGTAATAGATATTCCCAGATTGGTTACCCAGTCATCTGAATGAATGTTTATGTGCTTGTATAGCCGCAGTACTATTATATATGTTAATGTACACAATAAATATCCCTCAGAATTAATCGGATGCCTCTCATTATGACAGAGGTCATCCATGATAACTCCAGCAGACTCTTACAAATGCAATTTGGTCAATTAACTTAATTAAATCTGTACTGTGTAATGACTTTACATTTGTTTGGCAGCCATTCTGAAAACATTTCTCTGTCTTTGCTTTGAAAATTAAGACAAACAATTATTTTCGCTTGTGGAGATTGCACTTACAAGTATTAAACACAGAATTGTTTGTTGTTATGCTCTTAATCTATCTCAGAACTCCCCCACCCCTTTTTTCATTTTTATTTTTAAGGAAATTATAGCAATAAAATATATTGGTAGAACAATCTTCAATGGGCTCTTTTACCACAACTATGTATTTGTTATTTTAAGTACTTCATAGAAGCCCTCAGAATATTCTAAAAATAAGACTGCTGGGAGTGAATATTTAGTTATTTTAAACGATTATAAATCAACGGTGGTCCCCAGGCTGTTGCCTTACATATCCCCTCTTTGTTGACCCTGCTTTAGATGAACGAAGAGAAGAGCACTCTCAAGTGAAAAACAAATCAAAACATGGATTTTTTTCAGGACTTTATTCATATCTGTTTTATATATATATATATATATATATATATATATATATAACAACTTTGCTGACTTGTCGGTAGAAACGTGACTATAAATTTATCTGACACACAATACTCCTAAATAGATACTTTAAAAGTCTTAAAGCCAGTGAAGTTTAAGACTGAATTTGATCATGTGTTTTTATCAACGGCCTTATGCAGCTCCTTTAGTATACATTCCAATTTCTTTACCCTAAAAATCTTGCTTCAACCGAGAGGCTATATCAGGTATCAACTGCCCCTTCTGCAAAGTTGTATTTTCTCTCACATTCCTTAGTCTTCCACCTTCCTATTATACCCTTTTGTTCTAATACTCAAAGTTTTCATCTTTATACAACTTTATGTAATCTTTTCAGGAGTTTAACCGCTTCTGTCATGTCAATGCTCTCGATAGGGATTATTATTTAAGTTGTACATTGTGTAATATTATCATATTATTTGTTACATTATGTGTTGTGGAATTTAAACTGTTAGCAAGTCATTATTATAAACAGATAAAAGTTGATATCCGTTAGATCATTGTGCCATGATCTTGTGATTTATTTTTACGTATACTGAGGGTTCTTGGATGATAGTGATATGACTTATAGTTGTGTATTTACTAGTAAATGGTCTATAAATTCACTACTGAACATATGTAAATGAAAGAAAGTGACAGAAGACATGTAGACATGTTTTAGACTAGTAACCACTATTCATAACATGCAGCAGCAGTCATACTGTATATTTACACTAATAATGTTTCACTTAACTTGAGATTTCAATGGTATAATATGGCCAAAATAAACATGCCAATTCCATCAAGGTAACATGAATCAGAACATAAGTAGTGTTTTCATTAAGTCACGTTAGTATACAATTTGAGATGTATCTCCCGACACCTGGGAAAGGGCTGACTGTGGATTTTCAAGATATTCAACTATACAAAGTTAATAAGTCAAAATTCTTGTATATTGATAATAACAAATCCGCCACTAATTAGATTTCCTCTTTAATTCACAAATACACCAAACCACAAGGCATTAGCAAATAATTTGCTTCTTGCTGTAAGTAGCTAAATAACTTGGACCATGGTATGTCACAACATCTACCAACCATCTTATTGTGATGGTACTTACTCACATGCACAAAGGGAGTTCAAACCAATATTGGAAATGCTCGAGCAGGATAGGCTATATGATTTAGGTATGGTGCGACTACCTGCTACGCCTCACCTATCCAGAACTGGTTGTGGATGTCATCCAAATATCCACTGCGTTAGCCTTTATACTTTTTAAAGTAAAAAATACTCCCATATAAATCGCCAACTACCAATTCAATTTATTTTTTAATTTATTTTACCTGCTTGCATATTACTTGAAAGTAATTAAGCTTCATTTAGCAGCATCAACAAATGAAAACAAGTGCAGCAGATTTCACTCAAGGGAATATACAAAAATATGTGTCCATATTCAATAACTCAGTGAGAGCCTTGGGGTCATAAGGGACATTTTCCTATCCACCTCAGTGAACCAGACCTAAACGTTTTCTAGAAAAACAGTATGGCTGACATCTCGCCATCTCAGAAAGTAAGAAGAATATATGAAAAATTGGGTTACTTCTGCCTATCACTGCTTTAGATGGCATGATATTAATATTCATTGGTGAAACGTTAGGCTGTGTTATTGCTTCCTTTTCTGTTAATTGTATAATTTCACCATTTATGTTACAAATAAAAAAAAGATGTGTATTATAAATGTATTGATTATCTTTAATGTTTGGACAAAACTTAACAATGTCTCAAATTGATAAAAAAGGGTATCTGAAAAGAAACGAGTTGCACTTTAAAACAGTATGTAATATTATCTCAAAAATAATATTATAATAAGCAGCATGAAATGTCTTACTGTGATATATTTCTCTTTGTATCAAAACTCTGTATGTCTGCTTCCTGGTATTATTTTTATAATAGCAAAGAGGATGTAAAGTTGAAGAATTACAGACATTCTCCTTTTAAAATTGATGCAAAGCATTTCTGAGTGACAACAACCTTTGTAGGATCTACAAAGTACTGATAAGGCTTATCAATCTATGTTCCATGTTCAGTCTTGCAAATACAGCACAGATATAACCCAGCGGTCAGAGTGTTCACACTCCCCACTACCTTCAACAATTAGTTCTTGATTAAGAGGCCAGTCTGACTTTTCTTGTCTTTCATGTCCAGTCACATGGCTGATGATGGAGTAAGATGTGTGGGTACCTCCCAATTACAAAGTGTTTAGTAATAGGAGTCTAGTGGGCTATTTTATCATCCAAATGGAAACCAGATGACTGAACTCCCCCTTTAATTGGAAATATTTACTGATGTGTTCTTGTTTTGAATTGCTACAAGATTTATCCCAAGACAACGTTATATGAATGAATCATAGAGAAGAAAAAGCTTTTAACTTGTCTTTAGACAGAGTGTGCACTTCGGTTTGCAAAGTAGTTCACATTTTTCTTCATTAGGAGTCATGAGAATTGTCTATAATGATCATCTACCAAATATTTTCAACCTCCCTCACAAATATTGTGTAGACCTATCCTTGACATAACTGTCTTTATAATGTGGGTTAATGGGACTATATAGTATCGACACAGCCTCTGCTCATTACAGTTTTTTTTTTTTTTTATCAAGACCAGATTTACTCTACTCATTCATGAATGCCTTTCTTGACCCACCATAGTTTAATCCTCTTGTTGGCCCCAAACTGACCTCCTCCTTAAAAGTACCTCTAAATCCAGCTCATCGGACATCATTACTGCATTTATTTTATTCCCTCCTCCCCTCTAGTGTACCCATCACCCTGACATTTATATGTCCTTCCCCAAGTTGTTAAAAAATATATTTTTTTTTGTCTGATTCCTAACATTTAATGGGTTTGTCAATCACTGCATAATCGGAAATCTATGTTATGTGCTCTGAATGAGGTACCTATAAGAAATGTAAACTAAGTAACTAAAACAAATAAAAAGAGATTTACCAGCAAAAACAATTATCAGGCTCACAGTGATAACATAGAATTCAAGATTGCTTAGAAATGCTCAGAATTCTTTCAATACCAGTTGTAACTCAATTCCAAGAAAATAAAAGTTCAAAGTTTAATTTAAAAGGACACCTATATAAAGTAGTTACATAAAAAAAAAATAGGTAGGGTCACTATGGTACCCAAGAATTAATCAAGGTTTTCATCCAAAGCTCACCCTGTGCTGCTAACCTAACCCCTGTTTCAAAGGGTATCGATAAAGGGGCAATCCAAAACATCTGTTACTCCAAGTCCTTCGCATAAAACTGGATGTAGCACTTATTTGTGCCCCACTGTATGTTGTAGTACTAACTTATTTTTTCCTTTTGTTTTGCATCTATATAAAGAAACATTACACTTCATTTGCATTACGTAAATTGACCGGACCATGAAAGATTAGATGTGTAATGAAAACTGTAAAAGTGCATTTCCTCATATCCTGATTGGCTTTTGGCAAGAAATTATGTAAACAATTTTTTTTTGTCATCATTTTTTTTTTTTCATTGCAAAAAAAGCTTTCACTTAAATTAAAGAGCATTCTATAATATATATAAAAAAAATCACAAATATAATATCTAAATGCTGATATAAATGAAATCAAAGTGTTCGTATACGTAGGTGTCTCCCCCCCCAAAAAAACCACAAGAAAATATATACGTGAAAGTATGTTTAAAAGTAAAAAGCTCTATGAAAGTGCATAGAAAAACATAAATGGGGACTTCTTCAGGATATATATATTTGACTTCGATCTTTACTACTCTTAAATAGCTGATTCAAATGAGGAATTGATGGCTCCTGATTCCAACATGCGTTCCACCTTGGATAGTTTCCATTCCGCTTGACGTCAACATCACTTTGTGCTGGTTCCTTTTAGAAGGATAAGCCCTCTCAGACCACCAAATCCTCTGCTTCTGCTTCCCGTCCTGATGTTCCCCTTTCTACTTAGACCTCTACAGCAATAAAACTCAGTAGGATGTTTAGCGGGGGAATTGTAATTCCTGTGCAAATTATACCATTGAAACACTGAAAATCACATTAACTTTTGTGATGCTTTGTTTTTTTACATATATACTAAATATTTAGCAAACTACATCACAATCCAGTCCAACCACAGCCAGGGCACAATTTACAATGAGGAGAAGAAATAGAAACGTTGTTTAATTTCTCTTCTTTTCTATGTGGACTGCCAGGTGCAAAGGAGAGAGATCACAATGGTGATTGACAGGGAGGTTAGTTGGAGGTGCCTGGTTGCAGGATTCTTCACAATTCACAAAATACACATTTGTTAAGCATAGGGTATAGGTAAATATTAAATAAATGTCATGTGAAGTGCTAGTTCTCGTTTGAATGTCAAGTTATAGGTTTATGACTTTGTTTGTATAAATAAAATGATTTGTTCATGTTCTAAATGCTTTCATATATATCTAGAATGAAATCTTGTTTGAGCAGACCATTCAACATCCTCTGTTCCTGTGCGTCCAACTCGTTTTGTTTCAAATACATGTCTGTTAGTCCACCCGTTTTACAGTGCTGTGGAATTTGTTGGCGCTTTATAAATCAACATAATAATAATAATAACAATATATATCTGTAAATGTTCTCAAATTAATATTTTGGAATATGAACATGACCTAGGCCTTGATTTAATATTTTTGTATAAGCTTTTCAAACTATTTGATATTTTTGTATAAACTTTTAAAATTATTTAACATTTTGATATTTTTCTTATATATTGATATATCTTTTTTTTCTGTTTCAAATTTTGTAACAAATTAATTTCAAAGTTTTCCCAAAAATATTAAATAATTTGAAAATCTTATTAGCCAATATTAAATTGCCCCAGATCATGTGATCAGTTCACTTCCCTCTGTGTATTTTGCTCACTAAAACACCACCTAGGTTTGTGGTAGCTATTTTTACAGGAAATAAATGTTCTTATGTTAACTGTAGTCTCTTCCACGTTTCAGCTGCTGGCTGATAACCTGTTAATGAGTTTGTAATAGATGTTTCCAGACCCTGTCCCATATATCCACCATCTTTACCTCCCATTAATGAACAGCAATAAAGCAAGCAAAATCAGGAGTGGTTATAGCTGGTATACGTTATTACCCTTGTGAGTGAAACCATAAAACTTAACTTTTAATAGAATATTATATATAAAATGTGAGTGAATTGTGCCACCATCTAAAATTATATGTCATTCCAAAATACTCAAAGAAAGGACCTTATCTCCTTTGACAGTAAAGTACGTGTGAGTATATGACAAAATAAAAGTTAAAAACATTAAGTATCTTTAGGAACCATACCGCTAAACAGTGCTTTCAACTATTCGTGTGTGGTTTTATTTACTTTTTAATTTTATTAAGTACTGCATTAGCTTAAATGAACAATCAATCAAGATATTGTTCCACTCTTGAATTCTCTCCTCTGTGTTTACTTTCTCAGGTGTAGAGATTTCTGGTCTAAGTCCTCTTGGGACTAATGATCTATGTAGTGGCGTAGGCTCGTTACTTCCCAATATCCCTTGATCTGCTGTTTGTAAAGTTTTTGTATAGTGAAGAACTGGTTGTTGACAGGGCCGGCACATCCATAAGGTGGCACAGGCGGCCGCCTTAGGGTAGCAGAGCAGGACGGTGCAAAAATCAGAATCCCCTGCCCCTGCCTGGCAGTGAAGTCAGCGGCCTTTTCTGATGATGTCAGAAGGGGGCGGGACTTTAACTGCTCCCAGACTCACCAGCGGTCCTGACTATCTGCAGCTCAAGCCTCCAGTGCAGCCCGTCCCCACACGATCACCAGGGGTAAGGTTCCCTCTGGGAGGGAGAAAGACCTTTTAGTATGTTTTTTTTTTTTTAAATCAAAGCTTTTTTAAAAAAAAATTAAAACATTTTATTTTTTGTTTTAGTAGCCCCTCTCTACTGCTCCTTTGGCCCTCTACATCCCCTGCCCTCACCATACTGCACCTACCCCCCTCTACTGCCCTTGCCCACTCTACAGACCCTCTATTTCCTTCTACAGCCCCTGCTCCTGCCCCTGCCCCCTCTACTGCTCTTGTGCCCCCTCTTCAGCCCCTATATTATCCTCTACAGCCCCTGTCCCACCATACTGCCCCTGCCCCCTCTACTGCCCCTCTATTTTACTCTACAGCCCCTGTTTCCCCTATACTGACCCTGTCCCCACTATACTGCCCCTGCACTCCTCTACTGCCCCTGTGCCATCCTCTTCAGCCCCTGACTCCCTTTATTGCTTCCTGTCCCGCCTCTATTGCTTTTGTGCACCCTTCTTCAACCCCTGTGCCCCCTCTATTTCTCTCTACAGCCTCTGCCCCCACCATGCTGTTTCTGTCCCCCTTCTACAGCCCCTGCCATCCCTCTACAGCCCCTCTATTTCCCTATACAGCTCCAGCCCCCACCATACTGCCTCTGTCCCCCTTCCACAGCCCCTGTCCTCCCTCTACTGAACCATCTCCCCCCTCTATTGCCTCTGTCCCCCATCTCTACAGCCTCTGCCACCCCTCTCTACAGCCTCTGTCCCCCACTACTGCCCCTGTGCCCTCACCATATTGCCCCTGTGTCCCACAATACAGCCCCTGACCCCCTCTACTGCTCATTTACCGCACTATACTGTCCCGGTGACACCACTATATTGCCTTAGTGTCCTCCTCTATAGCCCATGTGTCCCTCTCTACTGCCCCTGTTTCCTACCATACTGCTCCTGTTTCCAACCATATTGCCCCTCTGCCCCACCACAGCACCTATACCCCCTCTACAGCCCCTAATTCACCTACTTCACATCCCTTCCACTACAGCCTCTATTCCCTTTTACACCCCCCAAACTCCACTACAGCCACTAACCCCTTTTACACCCCATAACTCTACTACAACCCCTATTCCCTTACTACAGTCCTTACCCCCCACTACAGCCCCTCTCCCCCAATTGCTGCCCATACTCCCTACACTACAGCCCCTGTCCCACTTGCAGCCATCAACCTACTTCAGTCCCTAACCCCCTTATTACAGCACCAATCCCCCACTACATTTCCTAAGCCCCCAATTATAGCCCCTAACTCTAAACTACAGCCCCTGTCCCTCTACTACAGCCCCTAACTCCTCAATTACAGCCCCAATCACCCCACTACAAAGTACTACATTATTGATATCATTGGGGCCTACCGCAGGATCTGCTACCCTAGCTAGTAAGGATGACATTTGAGGAGGAGACAATTCTTTAGCACTTTTTTGGGGGGGGGTATTGAAACCCTAATTTTTGATAAGAACTATAGAGAATAAAAAGGTCTATATATAACCCCTGTGTGTGTGTGTGTGTGTGTGGACGGGGGGGGGGGGTAACCCCTAAAATTTAAACAACAATAAAGCAAGCAAAATCAGGAGTGGTTATAGTTGGTGTACGTTATTATCCTTGTGAGTGGAACCATAAAACGTACCTTTTAATAGAATATTATATATAAAATTTAGAGTGAATTGTGCCACCATCTAAAATTATATGTCATTCCAATATACTCAAAGAAAGGATAAAAAATTAAAAGTGCTAAAGAATTGTCTCCTCCTCAAATGTCGTCCTTACTAGCTGGGGTAGCAGATCCTGCGGTAGACCCCAATGATATCAGTAATGTGTTTTCACTAGAACCCTTAATAAATCAAAATCCCAATGATATCAACAACCAGTCCTTCACTATACAAAAACTTTACAAACAGCAGATCAAGGGATATTGGGAAGTAACAAGCCTACGCTATTACATAGATCAAAAATTAGTCCCAAGAGGACTTAGACCAGAAATCTCTACACCTGAGAAAGTGAACGCAGAGGAGAGAATTCAAGAGTGGAACAATATCTTGATTGATTGTTCATTTAAGCTAATGCAGTACTTAATAAAACTGGAACGAGAAAACTTTGAAAAAGTAAATTAAAACCACACATACTCACAAGGATAATAACGTACACTAACTAAATTTTAGGGGTTATTCCCAACACAGGAGTTATACATAAACCTTTCCATTCTCTATAGTTCTCCCATTAATGAACAATCACATTCTCACATACCCCAGACCTCACCTCATCTAGTCACTTAAAACACACACACATAAAATGTTGACTCACATATTCTGTGCACATAAAATACACTTACATGTCATAACAAAGACATGGTGATGTAAAGGGTTGAAAAAGACAATTTTATGCCTAATTAGTAGTTTTGGCCTGTATATCCATGATGCTCACTCTGCTCTTAATCAGGCTGACTGTTAAATACAGTTTATTGCACAAACAACTGCAGTGGTAAAGTCAGAGACACTAGTCAAGTGGGACAGGGAGAGGTCAGGAGAGGACAGATAGATTTCCATGTCATCCGCGTAGAAATTATATTGGAAGCCATAGGAGCTAATGAGTTTACCAAGGGAGGCAGTATAGATAGAGAACAGTAGGGGACCAAGGATTGAACCTTGGGGGGACACCAACAGAGAAGAGTTGGGGAGAAGAAGCAGAGCCATAGAAAGAAACACTGAAATAGTGCTGGGAGAGGTAGGAGGGAGAGAGCAATATCTTGTAGGCCAATATTGCGAAGGATTAGAAAAAGCTGTTGATGATCAACAGTGTCAAAAGCCACAGAAAGGTCAAGGAGAATTAGGATAGAATAGTCACCACAAGATTTTGCAGCGAGGAGATCATTAGATATTTTAGTTACAGCTGTTTCAACAGAGTGACGAGTGCAGAATCTAGACTGAAGTGGGTCTAGCAGAGAGTTGGACTTGAGGAAGTCTGTCAATCTTGCATACACAACTCTTTCAAAGATCTAGGACGCAAAATGCAGTAGCGACATAGGACGGAGTTGGACGGGGAGATAGGGTCAAGGTTGGGCTTCTTTAGAATTGGGGTACAGCTGCATGTTTGAAGGGCGATGGAAATATGCCAGAGGAGGGAGAGAGAGATTGAGAATTTTAGTGAGTGTTAGCGATATAGAAGAAGACAGAGTACGGATGAGATGCAAGTGAATTGGATCTAGGGAGCAAGTGGTGGGGTGGTAGGACTTGAGCAGAGCAGAAACCTCTTCCGCTGTAGTGGGTGCGAATGAACATAGAACAGCAGAGGGAGTGAGGTTAGGGGAAGTATTATAAGGGGAAGAAGAAAGATGAGAGATCTCTTCCCTGATTGTAGAGATCTTGTTAGTGAAGTGAGTTGCAAAGTCTGAGGCGGTCAAGTTAGTTGGTGGAGGAGGAACAATAGGGCGAAGAAGAGAGTTAAATGTGTGAAATAGTTGTTTGGGCTCATGGCAGAGTGTGGTTATGAGGGTGTTGAAGTAATTTACTTTTGCAGAGGAAAGATCCAAGCTGTATGAGTGCAGCATAAATTTATAGTGGAGAAAGTCAGACGCACAGCGTTCAGCAGTTCTGGAGCATTTTTGGAGGTAGGACAGGTGAGGTTTGAGAAAGTTAAAAGGAGAGTTTGGAGATTAGTGGAGAAATGCTCTAGGTCAAGACATTGGAGGTTTCTGTGAGATTGATGTTCAGACGGTGGTGTCAATTGGGTCTTGGGTATGCCAATGTCAAAAGTCAGCAGATGGTGGTCAGATAGAGGAAAAGGAATATTACCACTGTATATACCACTGTTATATAAATATTGGTATCTCTCTAAAATTTAACTATGAGTGAGTCTTTTCATTAGTGGTTGTTAAGGTGTCCGGCTGTCCTCTGGGCCTGCAAGTGCTAATCACTTCAGTTAGATATATATATATATATATATATACATATATATATATCAACCCTGGCTTGACTGCATTCTATATCTGAGGCGTGACAGGCCATTTAACAAGCTATTGACAGCACCTATCCTCTCCTATGCAGCAGTACTGAGAAGAAGTGATGTAAGATCACATTTTCCCTGCCTGAGAAGGAAACAGTATGGGATGGAAGGAAAGCCCTCCACAGCCTGCAGCCCCAGAGCAGCTCACTGCCCCACTGGAACACAGGAAAGCAACTCTGTGTGGCATTTTGTATCTGTATGGCAGTGTGTAGCTGAGTGTGGCAGTGTGTATTTGTTTGCACATATGTGTGGCTGTGCGTGTTTGTGGGAATGAGTGAGAGTGGTTGTATGTGAGTCTGTATGTTTGTACCTGTTTGAATGGGAGCGTGCAAGCATTTATGTCTCCTACTGTGCTTTGTGGTGGGTTGAGAGGTTGGCCACTGGTTTTGTCAGGGGCCCCAGGAGTACTCATGGCAGCCCAGCATCCTTCACCTTTATTTGCAACACCAGAAATGTTTCTTATATTTAATAGTGGTACAGTCTCAACAATTGCCCTGGCCCAGTATGTTGCTATTGCTTTTGACTTCACTCTGTCGTTACTCCTTCTCATTCAATCAATGGCAGGCTCCTATTCACCTACTGTTTCTATAATGCCATATGTGTTTTGTTAGAATGACTTGTTTGTCTTGTTTTGCCTATTGTACAGAGCTGCAGAATATATTGCAACTATATAAATAGTTATAATAAATCTTGTCACATTTGATTAAAGAACATTTCCAGGATCCATGCTTTCTTAATATCAGAAACAACTGGAATGTGTATCCACTCTATTAATGTCTCAGATCAGATCTAGATGACTGCATCTCAGTTCATTCAGAACTGTAACCGAATCGTCTCTCCAAGCCAACATATCTGCTAGGCCATTTTATATCTTTTACTCTCCATCATTTGCTTCCCCATACTGCTATTCTCTCCATTAAAATGTAATGTCCTGAGCTTTGCCTACTGAATTCTGGCTGCACTGAAGACCTCTTTATCCAACCTGCTCCCTAGTTCCTGCCAAACACATATACCACTCTTCCTCAATTATTTCTTCCTCCCATTCTTGTCTTCAGGTGTTATACCACCTCTTCTCTAGAATTCCTTACCTCACTCTATCAGACTCTCACAATATTCAGCATCACATTTTCTCTGAATACTCACCTATTCAGAGTAGGTTAGACTATCACCTCCACTCCTTCTAAACTCTCTATAGATTATTAAATTACCAAGTCTCTCATCTGTCCCCCAATATCTTCCCTCAATTTGACTTCTTCATCTCTTTTACCTTCTGTCATCATAATTGCAACCAAATCAAGAGAGAGGGTTACCATTTCTTCTAATATATATTATGTTTACATTGTGTTTTATGTAATACCTGTTAAGTATTAACTTATCTACCTCAAAATAAACAGTGCTACTCAATCTGCTGGTGGTCTATACAAAATAATAAATATTTTGGAAAACATATACTTTTCCCAATCTTAAATTATATATTCAATATGTTACTGCTATTAACAATAAAAAGTAATCTCCACATCCCACATCATGTTGTGCAACTATATCCTAAATAAAACACAGCCTTAACTTGCTTTAACTCAGACTGTTAAAATGCAAAAAAACATTAAAACAACATTAAAATAACAAACCATGGATGTCCCATCTTGTAAACCTATGTCCACAAAATGATCCCATTATTAAATAAATAAAAAAAAAACTATGAATGTCCTGGCACACAAAATGCAGCACATACAAAAGGAATATTTTAGCATATGGATATATGTATTTTTGCCATATATAACAAGTTAAGAAAAGCTGTTTTAAATGAAACCCAGTGCTTGTGAGTACCTGTATGTCTATATACACCAATGTTAGGAAATACAGAGCCACCTGTATTCATTTAACCATTAAGTTGCCCATCAGTACACAATGGATTTCATAGATACTTTTCAGTAAACTTTAGGCTACTCTGGGGGATACTATTGAATGCTTTGTTCACTAGCAGTGCTTAATTATAAAGAGTTCTTTAATCTCATTGGTGGTCCCAAACCACCTTTCTGTACTGTCTGTCACAGTTTGGGATTACAACTCATTCAGGTGATAGCATGTTTGGGATTCAGTGCCTTAAACTTTTCTCTCCTGTCCTTTCTTCTTGAGTTTACAAACTAAACTGCCAGTTCATCTTGACGTTAAATATTAACGTGACCTGTTCATGTGCTGGTTATCCAGCTAACCATTAATATATGTTTACTCATGTATGACCTCTGCTAGTGTGTACCAGGCTCCTGGTCTGCAAATGTCAACATTTTTCAATAAATGCCTTTACACCATGCGACTGTCACACAATACATGAGTTGATTACTCATTACTCCTTATTAATACAAACAGATATGCGCTTTGGTATTTAATGATACATTTTATCGGTTTTGAAATTCCAGATGTTCAACATTCAACAGGCAGTAGCTTCTCTATTTGGAAATAAAACGACACAGAATTATAAGGAAATGTGCATACTTTGCTATACATTAACCAACTCCTATATCTAAGTATAATGAAAATGAATAAATGATATCAAGAGCAAATGACTATTATTACCAAGGATGCTAAGTCCGAAGTCCTGAAAGAAACTTCAAAGATTATTCCATGAAAATGCTGGTGTCTTAGCATGTTGGTATAACAAAATGCTTTCTAAAGTTTATAATTGATCATCTACATTTTTTATGATAAACCATATTAAAAATAATATAATACCCCCGTATCGCGCTAGCCATGAGATGAGCTATAGCCAAAAAATGGGGTATTCCGGACACTCCCTCCATAGACACTGTGCAGCGCAACGTCAAAGACACCATAAAAATGTACGAATTGTCCGCACTAATACATGATACAACGAAACACTTCCATAAAATCTGGGACCCATGGTTTTAAGAATTCCCTGTCTCCACTTAACTATGTTACTACCACTTCACTAAGACACAAAAACACACATAAACACATATGGCTTACTTCATAACACTCCATCCCCCCGCCCCCCCTCCCCCTTATCCTGATTTCCCCTTTTTTTTTCTCCACTCACCCTTCTTCTCTTTCCCTCTCCTGTGTCGGGACCGTCTCCACGCCCATTAGAAACACCCAGGCCCACTCCAACGGGCCTGATCACTCTCCCAACACCAGGCCCTGCTCGGTTCAAAACGATCCTGGCCTGAACGCAGAACGAATCACCGCAATCACAACACCACAAGCTCAGCATGAGGACCAACCCAACCACACCTTGCTCATCACACCGACTGCACGATGTCCTATGCATAACCATACTAAAACCCCAATGGGCAACATAAAGGAATTGGTAACAGAGACCTGTAGACGGACTCGAAACCCAATCACCCCATTGTCACCCTACCACACCCCCTCCTTTACCACCCCTTACTCTACCAGGTCGCCTCACCCAAACCGTGAGAGAGCGAACAATTCTCAAATTTTGTCAATGTTCACTGATTTTATTTCATTTACTGTTGTTGTTATGTATTTTCCTTTAATGATGGTGGTCCACAGAGATTAACTTAAATGTACCTCGAACTACATCGGCCATATGAATGCACTGATGACCTTACAAGCTCCTCACAACACAAGTCATCTCCATTGTTCATAGTATGTTAAACACTGATGTTAAATATTGAAGGTACCTCTGTGAAACGCCTCTAAAACATTGCACTTTCTAAATAAAGAATATTGAAAAGAAATAAAATAATATAATACCCTTTTGTACGTTTCTCCCATCCTTTTAGTAGAGCTAATTTAAACTGTCTAGGACATGGTTGACTCTAGGTCACCTTTCATGTGCACTTTAATCTTCCTTAGCTTCTCTTTTTATCTATTCCTTATTGGAGTTCCACTGTCGTATCTGTATGATGTCATTGTAGGGTCACTTATCAGCTTTCTTTTCATTCTTCAACGGGTCCCTCTTGAAAGTAATCCATACTAATGGTCAGTCTTCTTTATTTGTGATTTCCTTTAAGAAAAATGACCTGAGAACTTTGATTTATACCCTGAGCTTCGTGATGTACCAATCAAGGCTCTAAAAATGTATTCAGTCCTTCAAAGATTAATGTGACCTGTTTATATTAGTAAGTATATGCTGTACTCAGATGGAATACTCCCACTTAACACACAATCTACCAAGCAAGCCTTACTTTGAACATCCCAGATCTAAAGAATTACCCACAATAAATGTTATAACACTGATTGTAAAACTGCCTGCCCACTATTTTATTATAAGTTCTTTAAAGGAATAGTTCAGTGTCAAGCTACCACCATAGATAAGTG